TTTGATGTAAGAATACATATTTATTGCCAGGAATACAAAAATGAATGTAATGAAGTTTTGGCGATTAGGCCCCGTTATGCAGGAGTATCATTCGGGAGGGGAGAACTGATCCGATGAAACCCACCGGGGTCTAGACCCTAGTGGTGGTGAATGGATGGTTGGGTTCGGTCTGAAGGGGAGGGGCTTAGCTTGACCCTGGTGGTGGTGAATGGATGGTTGGGTTCGGTCTGAAGGGGAGGGGCTTAGCTTGACCCTGGTGGTGGTGAATGGATGGTTGGGTTCGGTCTGAAGGGGAGGGGCTTAGCTTGACCCTGGATTCAGAGGGACAGGAGGTGAAAAAGGGTGGAGGAGGGTTGCATTCGAGTCATCTGAAATGACAGCTGTCAGAGGGGGAGAGCAGATTTAAAAGGGTTAGCGGAGCGCTATGATAGGTTTGTGAGAATAGAGCGAAGTGATTGGTTAAGCTGGGGAGTGACGCCCCGATCTCTTATTGAGAGGAGAGAGAGTAGTAACATAGAAATAGTAAATGAATCAGGAAAGACGGTCTTCCTGGTTGAACTTGCGCTGAGCTTCATTTGTTGCGATTGTCTATTAGTATAGTGTAATGTAGGGTATAATGTTGAAATACCCTGCAATAATGTGTTATTACTTTAGGGACATGTCACTAAGACCTACAGTTAATAGCCTCTTTTCCTCTTCCTGTGTAGGCGGCTCTGACAACCATCTGATCCTGCTGGACCTGCGCACTAAGGGAACCGATGGAGGACGAGCAGAGAAGGTTCTGGAGGCCTGTGCCATCGCCTGTAATAAGAACACCTGTCCAGGTAAAGTGTGTGTTTTAGCACTGATGATGTAATACATGCAGCTTTGTTTGTCCCTGGTGTGAGTAAAGCAGAATAAGCCTTTGTTTCTGAATGAGGCATGAGATGTAACCATTATGAAATACTTGTATAAATGTTTTTTCCCCTGGTTATGCAACTCTTCATGTTGTCACGTGTTCAGGGGATAAGAGTGCTCTGCGCCCGAGTGGTTTGAGGTTCGGCTCTCCAGCTCTGACCTCCAGAGGCTTGATGCAGGAAGACTTCGAGAAGGTGGCCGACTTCATTCACAGAGGTAATCTCCTTTTCTTTTGCTTTTCTATTACTATCCGGAGACCCACTTTGTGACAATGCCGGGTATCACAAGCACTAGTCAGGGCAACAAAATGGTAGAACTGCTTTCCATGCATTAAATGCTTTTAATGTTTTATTTATTAGGGATTCTTTGCAACACTTTTAATCAGAATCGGAAACAGGTTTATCACCAGGTAGTTTGACACATACGAGGAATTTGACTTGATGTCATGGTGCGTACATAAAAGTAAAACAAAAATGTAAAACACATATGGAGAACTATTTTAAGAAAACTATAATAATAACATTAAAAAATATAGTAAAATATAGCAGTATTTACATGGAATAAAATATGTGCAGTATAAAAAAACAACTGATATTGTGTGCATTAATGTAATGAGTAAGTCCCTCAGTTTAAAGAGCATCTTGCAGGTTTTTTTTTTGTGTTGAAACTAGCATTGGGATCCATGTTTATTAATACGTTACAGCGGCCGCTCTCCCCCTTGCGTCCCCTTTGTTACGTCACACGCGGGAGGTCACGTGCCGAGGCTTTTTTATGCGGAAGTGAACATTTCTTACAAAAACGACGCCAGATGTCACTGTAGTGTATATTTCTGTATATTTTTTTGAAAATCTAGTGTATTCATCATTTTCCTACACATTTATTCACAGGTGTCTTTAACCTGGAAGTTGCTCTTTAAGAGGGGACCCAATTATCCCAGTGGTGGCCGCCGGAGCTAACGGAGCCGCAGGGGGCTAGCTTCAGCCGGCGTCCCGGAGCTAGCCCGGCTCCGTTAGGTCCGGGGCCGGGCGGTGGAGTCCGTCTTTTCTTAACGTATGAATGACAAGCATTAAGAATAACAAAACATAGCT